CTCTCTGCCACCAGCTGCTCTCTGCCACCAGCTGCTCTCTGCCACCAGCTGCTCTCTGCCATCTGCTAGCGCTCTCGGACCTGCCCACTTGTCCGCAGCACAGAGGAGATATGACACGGCAAGAAGGAGCTTATCATGCAGCTGTGGTGCTAAATAAATAAAACAGGTGCAGCAGGTGCTGAATAATTTAAAATCATTTATTTTAAATTAAAAAAAATATATGGCTCATCCATCAGTCAGCCAATTGTGTGTCATGTCCAATCTTATTGTGACAAAGCGCGAAAGAGCAAGTCCGCGAAAGTCGAACCGTGAAGTAGCGAGGGACTACTGTACATATTTATAAAGCATCCACACTACTGTGATCCATTTTTCTTCTCTACTTTTTTGGATGGTAAAAAAATGTTCTTTTTCTAGAGCTCATAACAAAATGTTCGTCTCATTCAGGACATTCCTCCTATGACTTAGTCTTTGTATTTTTTTTTTTTAGCTTTTTTTCTGCCATCTCTTTCCTCATTAAAAATGAAAAGAGCTCTCTTCACATCCTTTAAACCTGTTGCTGTTTACAACCTTTCGATGCTCATTTCAGCTTTTGCTCTAGTTCAGCTTTAGTCAGTTTGTTTGTGTTAATGTCAGCTTCCTTTAGCTCCCTTCAGATTATTTCTGCTAATTTCTTCTTTAGTCAGCATTTTTTGCTCCTTTCAGCTTTCTTTGAATAATCTCAACTTTTTGTTAGCTTTGTTCTGCTAATGTCAACATTTTATACTCAAGCTTCTTTTTGCTAAGTTTAGCATTTCTTTGCTCAATTCCATTTCATTTTTGCAAATTTTAGGCTTTTTTAATACATTCAGCTTCTCTCTGTCTATTTCAGCTTTATCTACACATTTTTGCGATTTATTTTTATTTAATTTTATTTATTTATTTGTTGCTTTCCACTTGTATGTTCCTGCTTTTAGTAAATATCAGCTGTTCAAATTCAATTCACAATAACAGTTTAGCTATTTAATCCTTTCTGTCTAGTTTCAGCTTCTTCGGCAGCTTTCAGCAAATATTCAGCAATAAGCATTCACGCTGTATTTTAGCAGGACATTCAGTTTGCCTAATTATTATTATTTTTTTTTTTTTTTCCATATAAGTTGTTCTGTCTATGGAGAGGATCATTGCTTTTCAATCTAAACTGTTTTTTACAATTTTTGAGAATGAGTAGTCCAGATTATAGAAATCTAAACTATAAAAAGCATGAATAGTATAGTGGGCAGCACGGTGGCACAACTGGTAGAGCTGCTGCCTCTCAGCGAGCAGGTCCTTGGTTCAAACCCCGGTCCAGGGGCCTTTCTGTGTGGAGTTTGCATGTTCTCTACGTGCATGCGTGGGTTTTCTCCGGGTACTCCGGTTTCCTCCCACAGACCAAAAACATGCATGTTAGGCTGATTGGTAACTCTAAATTGTCCCTAGGTGTGAGTGAGAGAGTGAATGGTTGTTTGTCTCGTTTGTCTCTATGTGGCCCTGTGATGGACTTGAGACCCGTCCAGGGTGTACCCCGCCCCTCGCACAGTGATTGCTGGACATGGGCACCGGCGACCCCCGTGACCCAAAATGGAATAAGCGGGTAAAGATAATGGATGGATGGATGGATGGATGAATAGTATATTACAAAGTGAATAGTTTATTTATTTATAAAATTATGGGTTTTGAGTAATAGAGGTTGATGATAATAACAGCAAAAATAAACTATATAACAAACAGAAAAAAAGGGAAAGAAAATGAAAGATAAATGTATTCATCTGTTTAAAAAAAACCTACCCTGAAAAATATCAAAGATTTTTTAATTTTTTTTTTTTTTTTTATATTTTGACTGTGACAGGAAGTCCTGGCTTGTTTTTGAAATGCCTTTTCATCCCTTTCTCAGTTTCAGCTGAATTTTTAATTCAAAGCTAATCTGAGTCATGTGTCAAAAAGTCTGCTTATGATGTGACTGGTGAAAGAAATGGTAATTAATAAAGTTATTTTAGATCTAACTACATAAAACAAAAATAATATATATTTTTTCCTTTTTATTTGATTTGGGGATTTTGATGAAAAGTGGATGCTTTTTGGATCACATAAAATGAAAGGTTGGTCTACATCTTTTAAGGTACAGCTCGATGCTGCTCTGATCTGTCATAATAAGAACGGCTCATCTGGGCAGAGCATAACCGCTTCAAGTTTTAAGGCAATCATAAATCACAAATAGGCAGGAAATAAAGGAAACAAAAGAAACATACATCCAAACTGGACTGCTTGAAAAATGTAGATGTCAATAAAAAAAATGTAAAAGACCAACTACAACAGGTCTTTCATCTGAACTGCTCGGGGGGCTACAGTTTCTGGAAGCCAGCAGCTCAGTGTCCGGACATCCAGCAGTTAAAGCCATTATGTAAATAAAGTACTATAATGACCCGTTACCTTTTTTTTTTCTTCCTCTTGCTAATCTTTATTGTATTGAATCATAAATGCAATAAACAGAACTGAAAATCCAAAATCAGACCCCCCCCCCCCCCCCCCGCTCAAAAAAAAAAAAAGAAGTCATCGGTGGGCTGATGTCACTCGTGGGCCGCCAGTTGAATAACCCTGAACTAGAACATTGTTAATTTCACACAACAAACCACATTTAAAGCCATGACTACATTTACTGAAGTGCATTTACATGAACATAAACCAAAATAGAAAAAGTAAAGAAAAGTTTAATTTGTCTTTAATATGTTTGAAAAAAAAAAAAACTAACAAAAAGAAAACATTGAAACGTTTTAAAACCAAACATTGTTTAATCTTATCTTCACTAAATGTATGAGTGTACTGACTTGTGTTTGTTTTGTCTAGTATGTATAGATAAAAAATGTTCACATTGACAAAGTTGTGGTTATATTAAATATAAATATATAACACTGAACCAAAATATTTTCTGTGTAACTCCCCTCCTTTAAGTGTCCATTCATTTTTCTTCTAATTCTCTCTCTCTGTCTCTCTCTCTGTCTCTCTCCCGCTCTCTCTCTCTCTCTCTCTCTCTCTCTCCCGCTCTCTCTCTCTCTCTCCCGCTCTCTCTCTCTCTCTCTCTCTCTTTCTCTCCTGCTCTCTCTCTCTCTCGCTCTCTCCCTCTCCCATTAACTTGCCAGTGGATGGCTGGAGGTAAGATCTTTAGAGATGGCCGTTTAAGTCGACAAACTAATCCTTTTTTCCCCAGCTCGTCTCCTCTCAGAGGTGACCCCTGGACCACTGGGAGTTATTGGGAGAAAAATGGGTGCATGTTACAAAGAGGATTTTATGTGTGGGCATTTTGCTGTTTGAGTAGATGTTCATGTTGGGTTTCTTTTGCCTGCACACTACTGCAGAGGTCACCACAGCAAGAATACTTGCACAAATTATTTGTTGATTGTTTCATGTGGGATGCTCTTCTGAATGCAGTCTGGACTCAAACCTGCAGCATCAGGGTTAAGACACCTTGGCACTAACCACTAAACTACCACCACCCCATATGAATATAGATAAAAGTAAAAACAATAAAAAAAGTGAATTATTTTTGACATATCAGTATAAATAGTTTATAAGCTAACAGTAGCACAACCCTGAAAGTGATACACTTTTGGCATCTTCAAGTTTTATCTTCTTTTTTATTTCATTTAACACAGGGGGCTACTAAAGCTAGCCATCAGTTACACTTAGTTGTTAAAACCCTGGACGATATGGTGCCACAGTGCTTCGCACTGTTGCCTATAACAGGTTGCAGGTTTACCTCACTGCCTTTTTAAGGGGAGTCTGCATTTTCTCCCTGTGCATGTGCAGATATTCTTCTTGTACTTATCCCACAGACAAAAAAAAAAAACATGCATGTTAGGGTATTAGGTAAATGCACATTGTTTCTTGGTGTCAATGATTGTTTGTCCCTGTGTACAATGATCAGCTCCTTGTGACCCACAAAGGAGAATTAGATTAAAAAAAAAAAAAAAAAAGAATGATTGTTTATTACCATTTTGGTGATGAGATAAAAAGTCATTTGGTCTTACCTTGATACTGGGCGCTGAAACCTCTCAACCTGTTGTTGCCGTCAGATGTAAAATGAAGTCGAAGCCAGTTTTTACTGCTAATGATTGGAGAGGGAAGGTTGGGGCCAGTAAACCTGCAAACAGAGAGAAGAAACCCATGATATATTTAGCCCTTTAATAGAGTTTCTCTTGCAGGCTGCATGTGACGGCAGCATTTTGTAAACCCGCATATTGTAGTTGTGAACTTATGTAAATACAAATAGAAGTCGGTTAGTGATTTCAAGATATTAAATATAGGGAAAATGTCTTGTACCTTCTATTACTACACATAAAATGTAATTGCAATATTTATTTAACTATATATATATATATATATATATATATATATATATATATATATATATAACGACAAGTATGTCGGGCCAGTGACTGGCTTGTTTTAAGTAATTACAATAATGTTCAGAGTAAATGTAGTCATGTCTTAGAAAATGTTAACATCCTTCTCATATAACATCCAATAAAATGAGGATCTGGCAGTTAAGTAGAATTGTAATGTTAACTAAACTTTGCCAGTCTGCAAGCTCAATAAAGAAGAGGAAATAAAAACAATAATGACATTTGTACAGGTAGATAAAACAAAAACAATCTCCATTGATTATATATATAAAATAAAATAAAAACATTTTGAATTATGCCTTATAAATCCTTAGAAGTGCCATTTGATCTGTATTCTAACGAGGACCACTGCTTACCAAGTAATTATTCAGCTGTTAAAGAAAAACATATTTGGGCACACAGCAAGTTGCATCTAAAAACTCTCTAAACCAAGAGTGCAAACACATTCTAGCATGCATTTGATCTCAGGAGAAAAATATAAATAAAGATGACATATTTGAACATAAACATCCATGAATATCAAAATATCCATCTGCAAATTACCGGTACATTTTCTCAACTTTATCCACTTTATTTATTTGGCCATATGTATATGTTTATATTATGGTGAATATGTTTCAAGGGATCATTTTAATCATTGCAAGAAAAGAAAACAAACATATTTTTGCAACCTATTATATGTTATTATTATATATTATTCTTCAAATAACCATAAAACGAAAAACAAACATTGTATACAAAGTTTTTGCTTTAAATTAGATCTAAAAAGTGTTTTATATATACAGAGAAAATATACTTTGTAGATTCCCAGAAACCTTTGTGGTGCAGTCTTATTTGACATTTCTGAATGGTCAAACATTCCCATGAAGACCTTATTGAGTGAGCAGTCTCAGATTGTCTGCACTAAGACCAATAAGGCCCACAATAACATGTGAAAGGGATGTGTCCCCCTCACATAGAAAAAAATTAATAATAAATAGTCTGGCTACAACAACTCTCTTCAGAGTTACTCACTACAGAGCTGTTGGTCAGGTTACTTCTTGTTGTGCCTTTAACTCTAAAAGTTATTGAATCAAGTGTTTACTTCTGTAATTAAACGTAGATGTTTAACAACCCATTAAAATACACCAGAATACAGGAAATGACATCAACTTTGTTCAAAATTGTATGGGGGAGGACTTCCAGACCTCCAGAACACTATGTCCATCCCCCACCCCCCACACATTACAAATACTTCTGACGCCAATGACTTGGGCTCATAAAATATTGACATAAGGTTGTATAGCAGGAATGTGAACATAACATTCACACTCATTTTTTTTTTGTTTGTTTTGTTTTTTGAATCAGGCACAGAAAGCTGAGCAACTGAGCTCTGAAAAAAACCAGGATAAAGTGTTCCATTACGTACAGGAAAGTATTAAATTGGGCAATAAAAAGTTCATCTTTGGATTGGTTTACATTGGTTTCCTTCTGGACAACAACTAAAATACCAACTCCAAATTGTATGGAAGCATTTATGGAAGCTATTGAACATAATTGAAAAAAAAGAAGTTGTAGTTGGTCTAAAGGGCCACAAATGTGTCAGACTAAAGATAGCTTGCCAGTAAGCTGATCAACTAACAAGCGAGTTTATAACTTAGTAGATGACAAATAAAGAGCAAAAGTGATGCAATAGGATTATAGGCTTTGATTTAGAAATTAAGTGAATCTGCTTGCCTAAGGAGATGTTACTTTCTTTAGGTAAAGTTAAAAGATAATGCATGCAGTGTCTTGTTTTTTGTCTAATGTATGTGCATTTTTATCATCAGTACTAGAATGTAAGCCCTAAATCCCTAATGTCTCTCAGTCCAGAACTATCTTAAAACACCCTCAGTGCCATTTCTCATTGCAGTGAACTTGCTTACATAAATTTAATTTAAAATGTAATTTCACTGATAACCACAGAGCACTACAGGTGAATGCTGACTTGGATTCCTAGGTAAACGCTAACTAAACAAGAAATGATGTATTATGTAGAAACACATACGTTAGAGATGAGAGAATTGATTAGACACTCGTTTTCTCCTTCAGTGAAGCTACTATTGTTTTGCTCAGTCAAACTTTAAAGTGAAACTCAACTTCAGGGGAAAGAAAGTGTTTTGAGAAGGTCAAAGAAGGAGTGATGAAGGGCAATGTAGCTACTTCTGCAGGTTCTGTTCACCTCACTTTCTCAATCTGGCTGGCCATATTAGTTTTAATGCCAGAATTGTCTTGAGAGTGTCGAGCTAAATAAGTTTCTATTTCCAGGTCCCAATGCTCCTCAGTCTGAGTTTGACATTTGATGTCTAAAAAAAAAAAAAAAAAAACTTGGGCTCTACACAATGACAGAGGCAGCTGGTAGGTTGTGTGATCTACCTGAAGACCAAGCATTGAACTGGGGACCAGAGATAACAAAATCAAACTGGAAGTTATCACACAAACTTTTTTGTATTACAGCTCATCAGTTTATTTTTTAAATTATATTTTTATACATACTGTATTTCTGGTTATCTTACTGTATTCTGTACTTACTGCCAGATTTGCATAGCACGCTAGCATGTAAAATATGCAAGTACTACTATAATTGATGTTTTTTGACAAATGCAACTTGAGTTTAATACAATAATAATAATAAAAAAGTATTAAAAAAATAGAAGAATAAAACTGGAGTATACCCTGAAGCTGGAGCTTCTGAACAGAAATCCAGTTGTTTTAGTTTATTAACCCTTTTTTATTATTATTGATCATCACCTGATGACTGAGAATCTTCACCAACCAATTAGAACAAGCTTCATGGACTTGTCTTCCATTTTGAGGGACTTGTTAAACTGCTAAATATTTTCATGGTTTAGAAAAAAGGCCATCATCAGGCAAATGTGAGAGGTCTACTATCTATTTCAAATTCTGTGCTTCATCAATGTCATTTTGGGGGGCAAGAGGTCAAAATAATCTATGCATAATCAGCAACAGGCAAAGTTTAACTGTCAAAGGTCAGCAAAATCACATTAGGATCAAAGTCGTGAAATAACTTTTTAGAGCGTGATTTCTTTGTGATATACCATCTGATGAGAGCTCATGAATTCACGTGGGTGTTTTGCATGTGTTTGATAAGGAAAGGGCCAGACTCTCAGTGAAGAACGTTCCCATTAATTGCACTCTCTTAGGAAGATCAATCAGAGTTCTGCTCAGTATGCCCGTCCTGGTGTGTACATCAGACCGAGGGTCACGGTGACTTTAAAGCTGATACTTTTAGCATTTTAACGAGGTTATGCGAATTATAGCACATGCCAGCTTATCCAGATGGACATGCAAACTCACGTGCACACCGCCCTCAACAACATCACAGTTCAAAATGTGCATTAGTAATAAACCAACATCTCCATGTTACTCTCCCTACTGCTGCACAGACAAACTCCTACGCGTGCAATATCTTGCATCTTTACAAGGCAAACGTAATCAGTGTTGAAAACCCTTAGGTGCTGAACGGTTGTATCAAAGCTCTGGCAATGGAGCAGTGGATGTGACCTTCATGTGCAACTGAGAGCAGACAAATTGCAGGGGTTCAAATGAACTGCTCCTGTGTCAAACCACAAGACCCTAAATAAGTTCACTCCACTTCTCCAAACAAGTACCACCTAGAATTAAGAGCCAGTCTACTCGTTCACAAAAAGGTTATGGTCAAAATATAACAAGAGGCCTTGAGGAGGGTTATGTCTCATGGGTTATGCAGAAATGAAGTGTAATGTTGAAATAAAAAAAGGCATTTCAGAGGAGGATGAAGCTTCCACCAAGCCAGTAAAGTAGCAGACCCATCAGAACCAACGTGTCTGCCCTGACTGTAAACTCCCTGGTTCATCAGAGCCAATCTGTCTCATCTTCCTCCTTTCTCGGTCCTCATGTGTTATTCATGAGCGGACCTCTGGCCCCATCAGAAAGCGTTGTTAAATCTTCTGAGATACTTCTTTTTTCCTCTTCCCGCAAAGCATATTCTTCCCTCACAGAACATATAATATAGACAATGATTGAAAGATATTTCCTTTTGGGAAGAGCAACCTTTTGGGGAGAGCAGCCTTCATTTTTGCCTCATTTCCTGTATTCCATTTTGTTAAAATATTTCAATAGTTTATCGCTTTCTTAAGGCTTTCAGCAAATTCACTTGTGCTTAAGCCATTTTATCTGTGAAAAGGCACCAAAATCAAACTCCGCCATGAGCCTTGGGATAACCTCAGAGCTAAACCTTCCTGATTATTCAAACATCTTGGTGCATACATAAGTTGTCAAACTCATCCTGTCCTTGCTCAGATATGTTTAAAGACAGCAACTTAACAGTGACTGTGCTTTAATACACCATTATAACCAATAATTAAATTGGTTAATTAAGAATAAATGTATTGGTTCCTCTGCCTATTTAATTTATTAATTTAAGTTATGGAAATAAATTGTCAGAGGAGGAACAGGTTCAGCAAACTCAGCCAGAATTTACAGAAACTATTAATCATCTATATTCTGTGGTCAAGTCAGACAGTAAAAGTGTCAACCTGCAGTTTGTAAAAGGATTTTAAAATGTTATATAGTTTAACTCTGAAATCAAATGCCTATATTCACACTTGGATTGTTAATTAATAGTGGTAATTAAGTGCTGGAACTGCTGAATTAATTGTACTTCAAATGTCTGGCTGTACATTGTTATATATGTCATGCGTGTTTCATCATTTCCCTT